TTGTACAGACTTTTTACAGAGTTCTATTTCCCATGGAAATTTTATTTGGAACTTTCTCATGTTTCTCAACTTTCTTGTTGCCATGTTCAGTAGCTTAGCTCTCGTGAATCTGTTCCTCTATGTGGGTCTCTGTTCTATCAGTCTATCGTTTCATGATTGAAGTCTCGCATGAGTAACAGTCTGGATCCAGTCCTGCAAGCGACAGGCTGCTCTTTCTATTATATTGATGGTTGTCATGTTGTTTCTCTCATACTTCTGTCTGGGTCTTCTATAATTTAGTGGGGGTTGTAGGTTACTACTACTATTGTAACGGGGGGTGGGGGGAATAGCTCTATCTTGTCCATTATTCCACCCCCCAGTTAACTAACGAGGCCGGGGGAAACAGCTCTCTCTAGTCCGTTATCCCGTCCCCAGTTAGCTAACTATTCTAGAGCACTCCCAGAGTTCCTAAGGCAACCTCTCTCGTTCAACACCTTGTAACCTAGGTATTCGACTACCTAGGTGCTAAGACTACAAGGTGCCGTCACTTGATCAGTTACCCGAAACTCTAGAGAGAACTCTAGAATACAGAATCGTTGCCACAAACGTATAAGAGAAAACGAGAGGAAAGAAATTAATAGTGAAGTAATTAGTGAGGGTTTGGGGTGAGAGGTAGGGAGGTGGGAGGAGCGAGGAGGGTCATTAGTTGAAAGTGAGAGTTTAGAGAGGGGTGGAGGGAGAGGTGTAGATAGGTAGAAGTAGAAGACGAAATGCTGCCACCATCCATTCATGATCATTACATACAAGACAAGGAATGGAACTTGTCTGTATCACAATATTCACCAAAGATGTTATCAAGAGATCATTATTAGTATGGTCCCATCTTTATCATGTACTCATTCTAAACCATGAAACCAGTAACCACAGAGGCTTTCTCACCTCAACTCAAAATCTCTAGGGAACAAAATAAAGTCCATTTAAATAATAAATTCAACAATTATATTTTTCATGATAAGTATCATAACTTAAGCAATCCAATTAAAATGTTAAAGATTAATATTCAAAGTGAGTCATCCTCCAAGAATCTGAGAACCCTACAACTGACTGCCCCTGATCATCACACAACACTTGTAAAACACGACCAAGTCACCTAAATGTTCACTCACCGAGGACTGAGTCTAAGTTGAATAGAGAGGGGGGGGGGGGGAGTCTGCAATTTTCAGGCAGCGTCACCCCCCGTCTGGTGACGGCCTATCTCGACGGCTGGCCTCTGCTCTGCTCCGCTGGCTGGTCTCCTATTGCTTAATGCTCAAAATGCTCCCGAATCGATAGTTCTCCGAGTATATATTGGGGGAACCTAGTAGCTAACTCCGCCCACAAGTAGATAGCCTCCGGCTCTCTACCAAGCCACTCCTTAAACGTCGGCATGTTTGAAAGCTACCAGGCTCCAATTAAGAGATTAGTAGAAGCAAGGTGAAATTCGCATGATCTGACCTCAGGTCACTTGAGGTCATTAACGCTTTGAGGTGTGAGATCTCAGGCCGACAACCTGGCGCCTTTCCCAATTCCTGTCTCTGACTCATATTCTATATATATTTTACATAAACTAAACCAAACACTTTTACAGTGTTAAACTATTATTATTTTTTGCTCCTTCCGTTGTCATAGTGTCTGTTGTATAGTCTCTGAACCTTTCACTGTCTGGAATATCCATATCTTTGAAGCTCCACTTCTTCCTTATCAGTAGAGCCACTCCTCCACCTCATCCTCCCCTCTCTTTCCTTGCTACATACTTGTCTTGCAGAAAAACTGCATTTGTTATCACACTTGTCAGTTTTGTTTCTGTGAGTGTTATTACATCTGGGTTTTCTTCTTGTGCCCTATCCCCAGGGTCACTTGTTTTATTTGTAATTCCAACCATGTTTGAGTACATTGCCTTTTAGGTAACTTTCCACTGTCCATTCTCACTCTCTCTCCCTTTGACGGTGGTGTTGCTGGTGCAGGAAGTTTTCCATGGACATGGTGAATTAGATGGGGGGGGGGTTGTTCAGCGAGATTGTTAGCAGGGTGCCCAATGAACTCTCTTTAAAGTGATGAATCAATGAGAAAATCAGTGGGGGCGCTAGCATGGGAGTACCAAGTGAGCGGGTCGTTAACCAGGCCTCCTCGATGCTGAACTGGTCAACCAGGCTGTTGGACGCGGCTGCTCGCAGCCTGACGTATATGAATCACAGCCTGGTTGATCAGGTATCCTTTGGAGGTGCTTATCAAGTTCTCTCTTGAACACTGTGAGGGGTCGGCCAGTTATGTCCCTTATGTGTAGTGGAAGCGTGTTGAACAGTCTCGGGCCTCTGATGTTGATAGAGTTCTCTCTCTGAGTACCTGTTGCACCTCTGCTCTTCAATGGGGGGGGGAGGTAAGTAGGCTTGGGTAGGTCAGGTGAGCATATAGGGAAGACGCGGCATGAGGGGGGGGGTTCTATTTGGAGGAAGGTTGGGGTGTCACACTTCTCTCCTTTGAGATGTACTTCTTTCTTGTCTCAATAAACACACACGAAATTGAACTTGTCGCACTTCTCCCTGGAGTCGCTGAAATGCTGGTTGAGCGTTTCCCACTCCTCTCTGGAATTGCTGGGATGGGGACTGTGGTTCCTTGGGGTCTCTTTCCTCTCCTGGTACCACCATCTTACACCTGCCATGATTCTCTCGCCCTCTAAAAAGAGTTCTTTTCTGTTTCCCATTACATTTAACAGCTTGTTCTTCTTTGCTAGAATTTGTTCTTTCGTGATCTCGTCCGTGAATGCTATCTTTATCAAGCAATCCCTGTTCTTGTTGTACTAGCCTAGCTTCAAAACGTTTTCTATGCTTTGTTCAGCCACTCCATCTGTACCACCTTCATAATCTCTGTCACTGCAGCTCTGTTCTTAGTTTTCCACTCTGCCTGACTGGAGGCCCTCTTGTTCTCTAATGCCTACTACAACCACAGCTTCTTCCCTTTCCAGCAGCTGACTAGTTCACCTTGCCGCTTCCTCTGAAGTGGCTGTTTTCGTAGCAACTTCTTCCATTGTGGATAAAGCTTCTGGGCTCTTTCTTAGGATTTCTGCAAGTGAGGCATGCACTGTGAGGCATGCATTGATATATTCTCAGCTTCTTGAAGGATGGTTGTTGTTGGGTCCTGAATCTGAGTTCTCTTTAAGGCTTTTCATCTCCTTTGCAGCTCTCAGCTCACCTTGTAGTCTGCTTACTGTTTCCCTCATGTCTTGTGTGTGTGTGTGTATACTCAGTTTTGCTAGCCTAGTTGTGCTTGTGGGGGTTGATCAGATATCGTGTATTAGGCTTAGGAGGGTAAGGTTAGTTTAGTTTGTCTTTCCAACATAAGAAGAAAATAGTTTTCCGGTTTGTCCAACTCAACAGTGCCGATTTGTACTTCCTGATTGCGTTGTACGTCGGTGTACTATGGTCTTCGTCGTTACTATATGTACTACCAGAACAGGAGGCGGGGCTGTCTTGGGGTGTGTGGGGAAGGGAGTAGAGAGGAGAAGCGTGATAGTGAAGAGGTGGCATGAGGGCGGAGGCCGGGCGTGAGTTAGGAGGGCGGGGGTGGAGCTTGGCGTGATTTAGGAGGGTTTGGGAGGCTCAGGACATGAGGTAATAGGGGTTGTGTGTGAGGTTGGTGGTAAGAGGGTGCAGGACATGAGTTGGGAAGAATACTTGAGATGTGAGAGAGTGGAGGGGGGAGGGGGGTATTAGTGGACCCCCCCCCCCTCTGGCTTGCCTGAGATTGTCTTGCCTCTGTATGACGACATCAACATGTTGAAGTACATGTGAAGAACCTCATGTTCACAGCTCCCTGACAGAGAGCGAGCGTAGCGTAGCTGCCCCTTCCCCCCGCCAGTCACACCACACCACACCACACCACACCACACCACACCACACCACACTCACTCACTCACTCACTCACTCACTCACTCACTCACTCACTCACAAGCAGGTGCTTGTAGCCTCATACTATCCTCCTCATTATCCTGTGTGTGTGTATGTGTGTGTGTGTGTGTGTGTGTGTGTGTGTGTGTGTGTGTGTGTGTGTGTGTGTGTGTGTGTGTGTGTGTGTGTGTGTGTGTGTGTGTTCACCTAGTTGTGGTTGCGGGGGTTGAGCTCTGCTCTTTCGGTCCGCCTCTCAATTGTCAATCAACTGTTACTAACTACTAATTTTTTCCACGCACACAGGAAGCAGTCCGTAGCAGCTGTCAAACTCCCAGGTACCTATTTACTGCTAGGTAACAGGGGCATCAGGGTGAAGGAAACTCTGCCCATTTGTTTTTCCGGCGGTGCCGAGGAATCGAACTCCGGTCCCTAGGTCCACGAGTTTAGAGCGCTGTCCACTCAGCCACCACCCACCTGTGTGTGTGTGTGTATTCACCTAGTTGTGCTTGCGGGGGTTGAGCTCTAGCTCTTTGGTTCCGCCTCTCAACTGTCAATCAACAGGTGTACAGATTCCTGAGCCTACTGGGCTCTATCATATCTACATTTGGAACTGTGTATGGAGTCAGCCTCCACCACATCACTGCCTAATTCATTCCATCTGTTAATGCATTAACAGATGCATTAACTGAACAAATTCTTCCTAATGTCTCCTCGGCTCATTTGGGTACAAGTTTCCACCTGTGTCCCCTCGTTCGCGCGCGTGTGTATTCACCTAGTTGAGCTTTAGCTCTACTCTATCGGCCCGCCTCTCAACTGTCAATCAACTGATATTAACTACTAACAAATTTTTGTCCCCCCCCCCACACACACTTCCAGGAAGCAGCTCCGTAACAGCTGTCTAACTCTCAGGTACCTATTTACTGCTAGGTAACAGGGGCATCAGGGAGAAACAAATTCTCCCCATTTCTGCCATCACCGGGGATCGAACCCGCCCAATAATGAGTGACGCTGCCCAATAAACTCGTCCCTCGGGACAAAATAAAAAACAAAATTAAGTGCTGAAGATTTTGCATTAATTGCGTGTTCTTTTTTTTCCAGAAGAATTCGAGAAATCAAACTACTTAAGGACCAAGAGCCAGACGTTGTGATCAGGAGGTCAAGACGCCAGTGGCCTGAGGCTTCAAGGTAGGTCGGTGGAGAGAGTTGAACCTTTTAAGTTTATATTGATCTGGTCAAGCAGGTACTCACCTAATTGTACTCACCTAGTTGTGCTTGCGGGGGTTGAGCTTTGGCTCTTTGGTCCCGCCTCTCAACTGTCAATCAACTGGTGTACAGATTCCTGAGCCTACTGGGCTCTATCATACCTACATTTGAAACTGTGTATGGAGTCAGCCTCCACCGACCCCAACACCGAGGTGTTGGACGACTTGTGCAGAGTCGCTGATGGTGTGAGAGGCTGAGTGATGAACACCAAGAACGGCTTCAAGGATAACTTGTACACGGATGTTAGACTTAAGGGAGTGGGGGGGATGGAGTGGGGGTGGGGTGTTGTGGGGTGGGGGTTGGGTGGGGTGGGGTGTGGGGGTGGGGGTGAGGTGTTGTGGGGGTAGGGGTGGGGGGAGTGGGGGTGGGGATGGGTGGGGTGGGGGATGTTAATTCTCGTTTCAAGAACAAAGAAACTAAGAGCAATTGAGTGCATTGTGTGGAAATTTTATTTTATTTTATTTTGTGATGAGTGAGATGTAATGGCGGCTGTTCTGTCCGTGTGCGTGCGTGTGTGTGTGTGCTTGTACGTGTACGTGTGCATGCGTGTTCCTGTGCGCGTGGATGTGTGTATGTGTACTCACCTAGTTGTGCGTGCGGGGGTTGAGCTCCGGCTCTTTGGTCCCACTTATCAATGTAGATTTGACTACATGTAAACTCTGTCAGCAGAACTATTCGCATACTTTGCGTCATTATATAATAGAATGTGAAAAAATCGCGGAATTTAGAGATAACACCATCAATAGTGTCCAAGAAATGTGTAAGTACTTCATTCATAATGATGTGCTGCCCGAAATCTTAGCGAAGTATCCAAAATTTGCTTACTGTAGTTAATGCATGCACATGACTGTAAAGCTGCCGCCCAGTTGGGTGGGTATGGAGCACATGACTGTAAAGCTGCCGCCCAGTTGGGTGGGTGTGCAGCACATGACTGTAAAGCTGCCGCCCAGTTGGGTGGGTGTGGAGCACATGACTGTAAAGCTGCCGCCCAGTTGGGTGGGTGTGGAGCAAGACTGGTAACTGTGTGACTCATCATAGATGTAAAGTCCCTTGTATAGTGACTGTTGTGAGAGTCTTGTTGAATCACTTGTGATACAAAAGATTATTGATGTGTGTATTTGTGTGGGTGATTAAATATATATGTGTACGTGTATATATATATACGTATGTATATGTACATGTATGCATGAGTATGTGTACATGTATATATAACATTAATAATTTTGTAACTAGCGTCAAAAGATTGTTATTTGCTTAGCTAAACGAACTAGAGGGTTCAGTTCCTGAACCGATTATGTGCCTCTGTAATCCTTTACACCACCGCCCTCGGGATGGGTATGGGGTGCATAATAAAGAAAGAAATTGAAGAAATTGACTATCAACTGTCAATCAACTGGTGTACAGGTTCCTGAGCCTACTGGGCTCTTATCATATCTGCATTTGAAACTGTGTATGGAGTCATCCTCCACCACATCACTGCCTAATGCATTCCACCTGTTAACTACTGACACTGAAAAAGTTCTTTCTAACGTCCCTGTGGCTCATGTGGGTACGAAGTTTCAGCCTGTGTCCTCATGTGCGTGCATCACCAGTGTTAAATAGTTTATCTTTATCTACCCTGTCAATTCCTCTGATAATTTTGTTGGTCGTGATCATGTCTTCCCGAGCTATTCTGTCTTCCAGGGACTTGAGGTGCATTTCTCGCAGCCTTTCCTCGTAACTCATGCCTCTTAGTTCTGAGACTAGCCTAGTGGCATACCTCTGAACTTTTTCCTGCTTCGTCTTGTGCTTGACATGGTACGGGCTCCATGCTGGGGCCGCATACTCTAGGATTGGCCTTACATAACTGGTATACAAGGTTCTGAATGATTCCTTACACAGGTTCCTGAAGGCTCTTCTGATGTTAGCCAGCCTTGCATACGCCGCCGATGTTATTGTTTGTATGTGGGCTTCAGGAGACAGGTTTGGTGTGATATCAACTCCTAGATCTTTCTCTCTGTCCGTTTCATGAAGTACTTCATCTCCCATTCGGTATCCTGTATCTGGCCTCCTGTTTCCACCGCCTAGTTTCAATACATTACATTTACTCTGTTTGAACTTTAGTAGCCATTTGTTGGACAATTCTTTCAGTTTGTTTAAGTCATCTTGTAGCCTCCTACTATCTTCCTCTGTCTTAATCCTCTTCATAAGTCTTAATCCTCTTCATAATTTTTGCATCATCAGCAAACAATAAGAGGAACGAGATCTCTGGGAGATCATTGATCGACACGAACTGTGTACGCGCGCGTGTGCTTTTGTGCGCGCGCGGGTGTAACATTTTGGTGTAGGCTTGTGTCTGGAGTGTGCTTTAAAACGCGAAAATAATACCAACATAATGTTTTTATGTTGAGTTACGAGCCGCGGCTGGTGAGGCTTGATAAGACCAAAGTCGGTTCTTTGCGAGGACAATCACGGCCGGAATGACAGCCTTTCAAGCACCTTAACGTTTGCGTGTGTGTGTGTGTGTGTGTGCGCGTGTGTGTGTGTGTTTGTGTGTGTGTGTGTTTGTGTGTGTGTGTGTGTTGTGTGTGTGTGTGTGTGTTTGTGTGTTTGTGTTTGTGTGTGTGTGTGTGTGTGTGTGTGTGTGTGTGTGTGTGTGTGTGTGTGTGTGTGTGTGTGTGTGTGCGCGCGCGCGCGTGCGCGTGCGTGCGTGTGTTGAGCGTGCGGCACAAGGCGAGGGGAAGGTCACACTGAGGGTCTGAGGCTCTTGAGAGCAGGAGCCAGTGAGAGCGGCGTTGGTCATACCTGTTCCCAGGCGCCCGCTGACACGATAAGGTCAACAGTATTTGTCTTGTCTTCTGCACGGTTTGGAATGTGGACTGGCTCATGGACCTGGTACCTCATGGACCTGGTACCGGACTCCCGCCTGCGTGACCAGACTCGCGGCCGCGCAGCTTGATTCTCGGACGTACGACCAGGCTTACCGCGGGTGAAAGTATAGTGAATATTAAGGCTGGACGTTGCAGGATGGTCGTAGCGGGCAAAATAACGTGTTAATCCCTGAGTTGCATGCATAACAGAGCTCTCACCCTCTCCATGGAGGGCAGAAGAAAATGTATATATGCTGGTTAGCATTGTAAATGTGTGGACACGTCTGTGGTAGAAAATACTAAGAACATAAGAACAAAGGCAACTGCAGAAGGCCTATTGGCCCATACGAGGCAGCTCCTGTTTATAACCACCCAATCCCACTCATATACATGTCCAACCCACGCTTGAAATACTAAATAATAATAATAATAATACTAAATAATAATAATAATACTAAATAAAAATAATAATGAGGCAGAGTATGACCCTGGCGTGAGGGAGCGTCTGATGGCTTGTGTTCTGAACTATGAGAGGTTGTACAGGTCCGTGGTGTGACCTGTATCAGGCTGGTAGGCTCCTGGCACCACCAGCTGCTGCCATCACCCTAGGCACACTATCAGGGCAGCCAAGTGACACACACACACACACACACACACACACACACACACACACACACACACACACACACACACACACACACACACACACACACACACACACACACACACACACACGTACGTCGGGGCGCCGGTGGTTGTGTGCATAGCACGTTGGACACAAAATTCTGTGGCCCGGGTTCGATTGCCGGCGCCGGCGAGAAACAATGGGCAGAGTTTCTTTCACTCTGATGCCCCTGTTAGCTAGCAGTAAATAAGTACCTGGGAGTTACAGTTGTTATGGGCTGCGGGTGGGTGGGTGAGTGTGGGGGTGTGGGTGTGCGCGCGTGCGTGAAAACAATAAATTAGTTAGTAGTTAGTAACAGTTAGTTGATTGATTGATAGTTGAGAGGCGGGCCGAAAGAGCAGAGCTCAACCCCGGCCCAAGTAGGTAAATACAACTAGGTAAATACACACACAAAGTCCACTACAGGAACAGAAGTTTTTCTCAGTTTTTTTTTTTTTCTCAGAAAAACTCAGAAGTTTTTCTCCCCTCCACGGCGGGGTTCCTGGTCCTGGACGCTACCTGACCTCCCTCAGTCATCAAGACCCGCAACCTGCCACCAACACTGTCACTCTCACTCCCCCACCTTACCTACACTGCTGGGGCGCTGCCATGCCCCGCGGCCAGCATTAGGCACCTGCTTAACGCTGTTCATAAATTTCTATGTAACTCTGTTACTTTCTCTGGTGGTGGCAGCGAACAAAAGGACTCAGATGGAAACTGGGTCCCCAATGAGCTACAGAGATATTAGAGAGAACTTTTTCAGTGTCAAAGTAACTTTTTCAGTGTCAAAGTAGTTAACAGGTGGAATGCATTAGGCAGTGATGTGTTGGAGGCTGACTCTATACACAGTTTCAAATGTAGATATGATAAGAGCCTTACCTTACCTTGAGGTGCTTCCGGGGCTTAGCGTCCCCACGGCCCGGTCGTCGAACAGGCCTCCTGGTTGCTGGACTGGTCAACCAGGCTGTTGGACGCGGCTGCTCGCAGCCTGACGTATGAGTCACAGCCTGGTTGATCAAGTATCCTTTGGAGGTGTTTGTCAAGTTCTCTCTTGAACACTGTGAGGGGTCGGCCAGTTATGCCCCTTATGTGTAGTGGAAGCGTGTTGAACAGTCTCGGGCCTCTGATGTTGATAGAGTTCTCTCTCAGAGTACCTGTTGCACCTCTGCTCTTCAACGGGTGTATTCTGCACATCCTGCCATGCCTTCTGGTCTCATGTGGTGTTATTTCTGTGTGCAGGTTTGGGACCAGCCCCTCTACTATTTTCCACTTGTAAATTATTATATATCTCTCCCGCCTGCGCTGAAGAGAATACAGATTTAGGCTCTTTAGTCGGTCCCAATAGTTTAGATGTTTTACTGATTGATTCTAGCAGTAAATGATCTCTGCACGCTCTCCAGGTCAGCAATTTCTCCAGCTTTGAAAGGGGCTGTCATTGTGCAGCAGTACTCCACTCTAGAGAGCACTAATGTCTTGAAAAGTATCATCATCGGTATAGCATCTCTAGTGTGAAAGGTTCTTGTTATCCAACCTGTCATTTTTCTTGCAGTTGTGACGGCGACTTTATTGTGTTCTTTAAATGTAAGGTCTTCCGACATGAGTACACCCAAATCCTTTACATTGCCTTTTCGTTCTATGTTATGATTCGATTGGGTTTTGTACGTGGTTTCCGTTTCTATATTTTCTTTTTCCGTAGTGCGTGAGCTGGAACTTATCTTCGTTAAACACCATATTGTTTTCTGTAGCCCGTAGAAAGACCTGATATACGTATGATTGGAGGTTTGCCGTGTCCTCTCATAAAAATCCTAGTGTCATCTAGGATGACAGGATGATACAGTACTATAATGTTGAGTCCTTGTCTATGTCCGATATGAGGATGAGAAAAAGTACTGGAGCAAGCACAGTACCCTGGGGGACTGAGCTCTTAACGGTTGATGGGCTGGATTTGATTTTATTGACTATTACACATTGGGTTCTGTTAGTCAGGAAATTGTAGATCCATCTGCCTATTTTTCCGGTAATTCCCTTTGAACGCATTTTATGTGCAATAACACCATTGTCACATTTGTCGAAGGCTTTGGTGAGTGCCCAGCAGCATTCCAGTAGGCTCAGGAATTTGTACACCAGTTGATTGACGGTTGAGAGGCGGGGGCCAAAGAGCTAGAGCTCAACCCCCGCAAGCACAACTAGGTGAATATAGCAACCCCAAGCCACTCGAACCCACCCAAAACTACCCCAAGCCGCCCAAAACTACCCACAGCAACCCCAAGCCGCCCAAAACTACCCACAGCAACCCCAAGCCACCCAAAACTACCCACAGCAACCCCAAGCCACCCAAAACTACCCACAGCAACCCCAAGCCACCCAAAACTACCCACAGCAACCCCAAGCCGCCCAAAACTACCCACAGCAACCCCAAGCCGCCCAAAACTACCCACAGCAACCCCAAGCCACCCAAAACTACCCACAGCAACCCCAAGCCGCCCAAAACTACCCACAGCAACCCCAAGCCACTCAAAACTACCCACAGCAACCCCAAGCCGCCCAAAACTACCCACAGCAACCCCAAGCCGCCCAAAACTACCCACAGCAACCTCAAGCCGCCCAAAGCTACCCACAGCAACCCCAAGCCGCCCAAAACTACCCACAACAACCCCAAGCCACCCAAAACTACCCACAACAACCCCAAGCCACCCAAAACTACCCACAGCAACCCCAAGCCACCCAAAACTACCCACAGCAACCCCAAGCCACCCAAAACTACCCACAACAACCCCAAGCCACCCAAAACTACCCACAACAACCCCAAGCCACCCAAAACTACCCACAACAACCCCAAGCCATCCCAAAACCTTCAAGAATTACGCAAGAAGAGAAATAACATATTCACTCACTATATAATGTTGGTGTTGTATAAAGGTTAATAAATAAACGCAAATATACTGGAAAACCTCCGTGGCTTTATAAGGAGACACGTCCACAGGTGATGGGGCGTCCACAGGTGATGGGGCGTCCACAGGTGATGGGCGGGCGAGGCCGTAGAGGTCGCCGGGGGCTCTCAGGTCTTCATCTCGCACTCTACACTCCGTAAGAAAAATGGCGCCCGTTTTACTTGATTAGAAAAGAACAAACCCAAGCAGATTCGATTGTGTTTTGTACCCTGTATTATGTTTCTGATCCTCATTTTTGCCGTATCTGAGTACCTGGAATTTATCACCGTTAAACATCATGTTATTTTCTGCTGCCCAATCGAAAACTTTGTTAATGTCTGTTTGTAGTTTTTCAATATCTTCAGCAGAGGTAATTTTCATGCTGATTTTTGTATAGTCTGCAAAGGATGACACGAAGCTGTGACTTGTATTTTTTTCTATATCTGATATGAGAATAAGGAACAGCAGTGGTGCAAGGACTATACCTTGAGAGACAGAGCTTTTAACTGCGCTCGGACTCAATTTTACTTGATTGATTATTACTCTTTGTGTTCTGTTCGATAGGAAATTGAGTATGCAGCGTCCTACTTTACCAGTTATACCCATTGACCTCATTTTGTGCGCAATCACTCCATGGTCACATTTGTCGAATGCCTTTGCAAAATCTGTGTATACAACATCTGCATTATGTTTTTCTTCTAATGCTTCAGTGATTTTGTCATAATGGTCAAGAAGCTGCGAGAGGCACGATCTTCTTGTTTTAAATCTATGTTGCCTGGATTGTGGAGGTCATTGGTTTCCACGAATCTAGTGACCTGACTCCTGATCACTCAAATACTTTTATTATGTGGGACGTTAGTGCAACTGGTCTATAATTCTTTGCCAATGCTTTGCTCCCTCCCTTGTGTAGAGGGGCTATGTCTGCTGCTTTAAGCACATCTGGTATCTCCCCCATGTCCAAGCTCTTCCTCCACACTATACTGAGTGCCTGTGCTACTGGCACTTTGCATTTCTTTATAAATATTGAATTCCATGAGTCATCTTCAGTGTATGAACCTTCACTAATACGAATGGTTCCAATACTGGCAGTGGTTTTCGCTTTTGATTTAGCATATGTGAAGAAATATTTTGGATTTTTCTTTATTTCTTGAATAGCTTTCTGTTCTAGTTGCCTTTCTTCAGTCTGATAGGAATGCTTCAGTCTCTGTTCGATTTCTTCAATCTCCCTGTTCAAATTATTTCTTCTCTGTATGGAGAGTCGTGTCTGCTTAAGCATTGCCATTAATTTCTTCCTTTGTTTTTGTAATGTCGTCTGCGTTCTCTTTCTACAATTGACCTCTTTATGGCTCTCCTCAAAGGAACTTGTTTCAGACAGACTTCATATGCTTCAGAAGTCAGTTTTTCTATTTCTTGTGTAGGATTCTTATTTCTTAGAACATTTTCCCATTGAATGTTTGTAAGTTCCCTGTTTATTTTCTCCCAGTCTATCCTTTTATTATTAAAATTTAATTTATTGAATAACCCGTCTGGCTTGTTTCTCTTGGGCCTACTACCGTTATTAATGTTAGTTTGCACTTCAATGAGCTTGTGGTCCGAGTACGTAGTGACTGAGACAGTAATGTCTCTGATTAGCTCATCATTGTTCGTGAATATCAGGTCCAGCGTGTTTTCGTTCCTAGTTGGTTCTGTAATCTGCTGACTGAGCGAGAATTTGTCACAGAATTTCAGTAGTTCTCTGACCTGTGGTTGGTTATTTCCAGATTGATTTCCTGCTATAATGTTATTGTTTACTATTCTCCATTTTAAACTGGGGTAGATTGAAGTCCCCAAGGAAGATAATATATGGTGCTGGGTTTGCTAGGTTATCAAGGATGTTCTCTATTTTGTGGATCTGTTCAGTGAATTCCTCAACTGTTACATCTGGCGGTTTGTATATTAAAATAATAAGTAGATTCATATTTTCTACCTTGATTCCAAGTACCTCTACCACCTCATTGGACGAGTTCTGGAACTATGTGCATGCCAGGTCCTCTTTAATATACAGACCTACTCCTCCACTTGACCTAATTACTCTGTCACATCTATGTAGATTATAATTCGGAATCCAGATTTCACTATCCATGTGGTCTTTTGTGTGGGTTTCTGTAAATGCACCAAATATTAAGTTCGATTCTATTAGGAGGCCATTTATGAACTTAACTTTATTTCTTGATTTTGGTTTCAAGCCTTGTATGTTTGGTAATATGAATGGTTTCCCACATAGCGTGTCCCTTCTGGTGGGCTTTGGTAGTTCTCCCCCCCCCCCTCTACCCAGGTCCAGGGTGTGTTGTTTACAACCATAACCACCTGACTTTGCCAGTGTATGAGGTACTGGCTCCCATAAATCCCCTCAAGTATCATTAATGAGAAACAAATGTGAAGGAAACGAGACACGACACTTGCTGAGGGCCCAGCAGGTGTCCCGCGGTGCTGCCATCTGTTGGTAAGAGCAAGGACCATCTCTGTTTACATGTGCACCAGCTGATATGCCTGTTATCTCGTCCAGCTGCTGGCGGGATCACTGAGAGGATTTAAACGACAAGCTGTGTGAACACGGTGTTTGTGGGGATGGGGGGAGGGAGGGGGTTGTGCGCGTGCGTGAGGAGGGAGTGTGCGTGAGGGCTGGGGAGGGGGGAGTGCGTGAGGGCTGGAGAAGGGGGAGGGCTGGGGAGGGGGGGTGCGAGTGCCAAGGTCTTACCTACGCACCTTGGAGGTCACGGGGGAGAGCTGGGAGGTGCTTGCCAATGTAAATGTGTGATGGTGGTGGCGGCGAGTGTCACGGGGGCTGGCTGGTGGTCGTGCTACTGGTTGTGCTACTCGGGGGGGGGGGGGGGGGGGGGGGGGGGGGGGTGGGGGGGGTGGGGGGGGGGGGGGGGGGTGGGGGGGGGGGGGGGGGGGTGGGGGGGGGGGGGGGGGGGGGGGAGGTGTCTGTTGTTTTTAGATTCAGCTACTGAGAACAAAAAGTTGCAAGTAGCACGGGCTATGGTGATCCCTTAGTGGACTTACCTGGCACAGGAGCGGGGATGTGCTGGTGTTGCTGCTGCCGGAGACCGATTAAAATTTAAAAACCTGGGGCCATATTCACGAAGCAGTTAAAATAAAAAGATGTTTAACAGCGATAAATTCCAGGTACTCAGGTACGACAAAAATGAGGATCTGAAACATAATACAGGGTACAAAACACAATCGAATCTGCCCATAGTAGAAAAACAGCATGTCAAGGATTTGGGAATAATGATGTCCGACGACCTAACGTTCAGGGAGCATAACCAAGCCAATATTGCGTCAGCCAGAAAAATGAGAATATGGATTACGAGAACTTTCAAATCCAGGGATCCCATCACGATGGTTGTACTCTTGAAGTCACTTGTGTTGTCCCGTCTTGAGTACCGCTCAGTACTCACTTCCCCCTTCAGAGCAGGAGAGATTGCTGTAATAGAGGGAATACAGAGAACTTATACGGCATACATAGACGCGATAAAGCACCTAAATTATTGGGATCGTCTCAAAGCCCTCCAAATGTACTCACTAGAAAGGAGACATGAGAGATACCAAATAATATACACATGGAAAATACTGGAAGGCCAGGTCCCTAATCTACACAGTAAAATAACAACCTACTGGAGTGAACGATATGGAAGAAAATGCAAGATTGAACCAGTGAAGAGCAGAGGTGCCATAGGCACAATCAGAGAGCACTGTATAAACATCAGAGGTCCGCAGCTGTTCAACGTCTTCCCAGCGACTATAAGAAATATTGCCGGAACAACCGTGGACATCTTCAAGAGAAAACTAGACTGTTTTCTAAAAGACGTTCCGTATCAGGTGGGCTGTGGTGGGTATGTGGGCCTGCGGGCCGCTCCAAGCAACAGCCTAGTGGACCAAACTCTCACAAGTCAAGTCTGGCCTCGGGCCGGGCTTGGGGAGTTGAAGAACTCCCAGAACCCCATCAAGCAGGTATCAACCAGTTACGCAAGCACTAACGAACCTCTCCATGTTTTCTCAATCTTTGGCGGCTTTGTTTATAATTAAACAGTTAATGAGCTCCGAAGCACCAGGAGGCTGTTTTTATAATAATAAACAGTTTGATTGGGAAGTTTTCATGCTTGTAAACTGTTTAAATAAATAACCAAAGCCGTCAAAGATTGAGGAAAGATGTACACGTTCGTAAGTATTTGTGTAATGACTTCTTGAATCCGGGTCCAGTATTCCCTAGAGCGTAGGCAGGAGAGATGCATAATAATTTGCATCTGCATAATAATATTAACCGGACTGGTCCCCCTAACCTGCACACAGAAATAACACCACATGAGACCAGAAGGCATGGCAGGATGTGCAGAATACCCCCGTTGAAGAGCAGAGGTGCAACAGGTACTCTGAGAGAGAACTCTATCAACATCAGAGGCCCGAGACTGTTCAACACGCTTCCACTACACATAAGGGGCATAACTAGCCGACCTCTCTGTTTAAAAGGAGCTGCGAGAAGCCGCGTCCAACAGCCTGGTTAACCAGACCACCAACCAGGAGGTCTGGTCCTGGAGACTCATAAAGTAGTTAGGCAACCACTCGATCTTTGGCGGTCTTGTTTTTCATTTATTAGACAGTTAAGGAGCATCGAAATTTCCCAGGCAAATGTTATAGACATTTGTTATAGACATTTGTTATAGACAGACTGTTATAGACAGTCTCCGAGGAGCTTCGCAACTTATAACTGTTTATGTGTAAACAGTTTTGTGTAAACGGTTTATATGTGTAAA